ATTTTCAAAATAGACATTTATACACCATTCGATAGAGAATTTGAACAGCTACATTTTACACTATTTATATTTGAGAAAAGAGTTACTTCGATTTTTTGCCTAATGTCCGCCTGGATGCCCACTGTGTGCTTTTTATGTGACAGTCTCCATTAGATTCTATAGTTAATGGATCACAGATGAACACGATTATTTAAAAATAATATAAACATTCTGGTATATTAAAGTCTTTGGTCTAGAACCGAAGCTTTCACATCAACGGTTTCGATTTTCTAGACAAAGGATGAAAAACTGTCTGTCATCTTCGGAAAATCTTCTAGAAAATCAGATGCCACGTCTGAATCACTAGGAGATCCGATATTTTCTTGTTCTATTAGCAATAACGTTAGATCGATGTCTTTCGACGTTCAACAGGTAGGTATTGAAAGAACGACTGAGAATAATATATTTTGAAATGGATAGTACCATTTTTGAACATCTAAAGACAGAACTGACGGTGGATTTGGGTAACGATATATAATGATTTATTCAGCTATATCTTTTTCACTTGTTTAATTTACACACTTTTTTTCTACATAATTTAAAATGACTACGCGCTTAAAGCAAGATCTTTGCATTGCTATTATAATTATCATCAGCAGACAAGTACTAAATATGAATAAATTATGTTGATCTTGCTAAGAGATTAGACTAAAGGAGGAAGAAACAGTACGACTAACGTTAACCGTATAGGGTACTGTTTCTTGATCAATTGTTCAGTTAATATCTGATACCATATAGAATCGATGTAAAAATAAATCTAATGCGTACAGCGAAGCTGTTATTTTCAATCTATGAGGCACGTTTGCAGATATGGATCACAATTATTGAATCTTATGAAGAAAACAAATATTCATATGAAACGTACCTGCGTCACTCTTTAAAACGACCAAATGAAAAACAGACACTGTAGGATTTACCGGAAAGTTTTGAGATGCATAAACATTTAGTGGTGGAGAATATAATCTAACGAATTTTAATTAAATTGTAGTGCGAATGGATAAAAATTACATGTAGAGAAATTCTTAAATAAAACTACTCATATTATTTATAATTACAGTGAACAATAGTCAACATTTTAACATCTCATTGAGCATAGAAAAATATTTACATATAAAAAAAAAGCACTTTGTTTTTCAGAGAGTTCCACAAAACAAGCGATGAATTTAATTTAAAAATAAAAATTATCAGATTCCTGATCGGAAGAGAGAATGGCAAGAACCGTGTCTAAAATACACACGGTTCTACCTACAAGAACGTTACCTAGTGTGTGCATAATTCTCACCTATTTCAGTATTCAGTCACACCACCATTCCTCGCATTCTCTTACAGAATAGAAATAAAAGTATGTGTTTGCTGAATGAGACATTGTAGTTGAATGAGAGTATTCATCCTCATTTCTTAATTAATTATAAAATCGTACTGATAGTAACTTGAAATTTTCAATATCTTCGTGATGTATTTTCAATATCTTCGTGATGTATTTTCAATATCTGTGTGATATATCGTGAAAGACTCCTACGAGATCTTTTGGTAGTTTTCTGATATTTGGTTAGCATCTCAGTATTCCGTTATTTTATTTAAGTAATGGTTGATGCTAATATAAACCGACCTTGTCATAGAAAAATCACTAATTCAACAAAATCTATAAAACTCTGAAAATTTTTCACAAAATCGGTGGCTTCTATGTACTATGTGATTCATAGAATCAAAGTAGTGATGTCTCTCGCGGACGGAATTTTATCCAAATTCTCACGGGAGAAATTTTAAAGTCCGTTCACATGATGTTTTCGAGAAAAACTAGATTTTTCATTGTACAACCTATCTATCTTCTAAAGACTTTGTCCAGTTGAGTTGGAATCTACACAACATCTATTAGACTTTAACAATATCGGGTGTTTTTTTATGTAGCACTTTCGAGCCCTTCTTTAGAAAGAATAAATGTAGTTAGTGAGTTTTTCAATTGTCGTTAGCAGGTTCTCGCGAACGAGGCAACCGAAAATTCTAAATAGAAAAACACTCGAGCACATTTGGAGAGTGTAGTATATGTGGTAAAGATTCCAGATCAAATATATAAAGTTTTTATAGAGTCAGTCCAGTTGTATAATGTTATTTGTTGCTGTGTGCAACTTGTTTTTTCAATTTTACGGTAGAATGTTTTCGCAGAAACAATGCTAACAACAACTAGCTGACTAATTTTCAACAATTAGAATGTACAAGCGATATCACGTCGGTCTGTTCAATGGCCACTATTCAATTCTCTTGCTGGGCAATATTTTGTTTACCGGCTCTTTGTACACGTTAACTATGTTTCGATTATAGCCGACAAAGTCAAAAAGTAATTGTATTTGAGTGTCCATGAATCGTTCCATATGCTCTAGTTTGCTGTAAAGTACGAAAATATCGTAAAAGCATTCATTATTATTTTTATTTTATATTCTTACTGTTGTAAATTCGTCAATTCAACATCCACATCAGCCATACACACGATACCAACATTTTGTCGTTTTTCATCTCTTTTCAATTTGGACGTATCCAAAAGACCACTGCAAAACAAATCAACACATTGATAGTCAATAAATTCATTTTATAGTAAAAAAAGTCGATACTTTATATTTTTTCTTATCGTATTAGCTGGTTTTTTCTGTAACATTTCCGTAAATGTGGTGATTACATTTGACAATGAACCTATTCAATAATAATTAGAATCATCTTTTTAATATAAAAGAAGTATATTCTATTAACCTTGTGATTGGGGTTTGTTCTTCGCAAATACATTGTGATGTAATGTTACTTGTTGTGGTGGAGAGAGCTCTACAGTTGCCTGTCGTCTTATACTTTCATTGCTTGAACTATGCTCATTACCACCATAACGGGCTCTGTATGAGGCCATTACATCGTCTATTTCTACAAAGAAAATTTCTTTATGCTGAAGCAAGCAATACATAGCATACTGAACAAGATTATACTAACCATTTTGATTCAGGTCAGCAGTACTTAGTCTTTGTGTTTGCAATTTTGGATGTCTTTCATTGATAAGAGCTTGAATTTCATCATCTAATTTGTGAAACGGTTTCGAGTCACTTAACTCGCACTGAGAGGAAATAGAAGTAAATTAATCAAGTTTTCAGCATGACAAGTTAACCTCATCTCACCTCTCTTAGATCTAAAGTTACTCGAAATCGTTCGCGAAAGGATATGGCAAAATCGGGATACGTTGTGAATATATTTAATAAACTATCTCGATCAATTTTGTTCAATTCACAATAGGATAATCCTACAACATCACATTTCGATTTGCCTGGTGGATTATCTTGAGGAAAATTTTCTCCAATGATATCGTTTCTACCCAGAATGGCTTGTAATTCATTGTTTTGTAGAATTTCTATTTGTCCGAAACGTATAAAATAAATAGCGTTCAACACATCGCCTAAAAATTGATCAGAAAGATGACAATTTGTCTTTTGTTATAATTCTAAACGAGTAACCTTGATGTATCAATGTGTCGCCGGGTGGAACATGTGTTGATTTGAACTGTAGTGCCAATGCTCGCAGTGTAACTAGAAAAATATTAGAATATGTAAATCATATCAATATATTGTATTTTAGTACACTTACCTTCGCTTGCATCTTGAAATACTTGACAATTATTCAATAGTTCACGATTAAGATGAAGACAAATGTCAGCTTGAATACATTCGGGAAACGTTTTGAGAACCTAAGTCAAATTAAACTAAAAACATGTTGTGGAGAAGTAGGTATGCACCGGTATCGGTATACCGAATACCGAAAATACCGATACCGAAAATACCGACTTTTTTTGACTTGGAATTTTTTGGATTTTTTCATTTGAAATGAGGTATTTTAGCATCCTGGACAAGCAGAACGTAT